CTTTCTGCCGGAGACCTTCAGACAGCCGATGCCCGACACCATCCAGCAGATGCAGCGCATACAGCTGTGAGTCTGCACAATGTTTGATTTATTGTTGTCTTACAATCCTACAAAAAGATCACAACCAGATCATCTTTCATCAACAGAGGGCACAGACCCTTGGAGTATAGACAGATATTTTATTGTTCTTTTGAACTCTGCTGGCCCCATCAACAGATATGGACGCACAACACCAGCAGAACGACGACATAACTGAGTACACATAACATAAAATACACAATCAGGGCCTGTAATGTAGCTACAGAGCCTCAGAAACGTAACTTCACATCACGAGAGATGCCAACAGAGGATCGTGGCCTGATCATATACAAAACAAGATGTGTGCAATATAAACCAAAGCCGCTGCAAATAGGATGTAAGCATAGTGTTTAACTAATGCAGCTCTCCTCATCTGGTTTCCAGGTTCAGATTGCCATGGACCTCCACGCTTCCTTCAAACGATGATGGAAAATCATCTAAAGACCAGATTTCTGCTCCAGAGATCATCTGTACAACTCACCTATAAGAGCCCTGAAACAAATGAATGAAACCACTGAAGCCAAAACTACCAGAATCACCAGCCTACTTTACAAATTTTCCATTTCTTGAGGATGGTGGTGGGGTTCTGTGTCCACCAGCTGGCGACTTGTGAAAACCCTGCAGAGCCTCCAGTGATGCATTCATTGATACCTTATGGATAGAAACAGTTTTATTGTCTTTCAGTAAAGCAGAGACAGAGTGCTGTGAGACAGGAATACAAGCAAAGAAAAGAATGCAGATCTTCCCTAAGAATACACAGTAGGTGCATATTTTTCAAAAACAAAATGGAAAACCCACACTGTAGTTTAATGCACTAAAGGTCTAGGTTATGGATTGAGACACTGATGCATTTGAGTGACGTGTATTTCAAATCAACATGATTCCAAAAGTGGAAAGAAATATAAATCAGAAATGTGTAAGGTGAATGTTTCAAATGACTCTTGCAATGTGCAACTTGCAAAAATACATTTACAGTAGTGACTTTATAATTCGACCCTGAGCAATCCGAAAACCTTGCTATCCGACAGTTTTTAGGAAAAACTAACGAAACCCATAGAAAATAGCGTGAACATACCGACAGCCTTGGATTCCGACTCCGACATGACATTTTATGTCACAAATAAGGATAACGGTGTATTATCTGACTTAACAATCCAACAGATTGGCTACATTTTGCAAGTTCATTCACATTTCCAGTTAAATGAAACTTTTATGTGATCTGCTGTGTGAACTTCATACGACCCAAAAGTGTCCCGCATGTGCAGAAGAGGACACAACGACGTCACACGCAGCGAGCGTGCTCGCGTGTTTGAGGAAGTAAACACTGGATGTAATGGTGGACTATATCTGCCATTCCCCTGCCACCACTGATTGGTGGAAACAGAACTGTGACTGCTATTCTAAACTGGCATGTGCGTTCTGGCCACTTCCACCCCGTCGGAGCGCTCCCCCGGGGTGGAAGTGGCCGGAACCTGCACAAGCACACCAGTCAATTAGGTGTGAAATCCAGCGATGCGTAGTGTTCTAACAATGCACGAGTTATTATAACAACTATAAACAATAAATATTAACAACAAAATACCATTCAAGCATCAAGCCCTGCTTGTATCTCGAGCTCTGTCTTGACAGTCCGACAGCCTTGCTGTCTGACATAAAAGAAGGTTTTACATTTGGTGTCAGATTATCGAGTCACAACTGTATTAGTGACATTTCACTGCTGGACTTTCAAAGAGCAAAATGGCTTTCGTGTGCTGGGAATCTTTTTGAAACTTTTGAAAATACCCATCTCTTTTCTACACACCTGTCTCATGAAATAGATCTGAAAAGAGTTTCTTTGTCTCATAAAGTGAATACGCAAGTTAAATTGTATTTGAAAGGCGTAGCCGTGCTATGATGCACAGTTGGCAAACTTGAATTTTATTTGTGTATGTACAGAATGTTTGTTTTTGTTTGTACCAGTGTGATGAAGACAATTGTAAGGTTATATCTCATGTGATGTATGAATTATTAAATCACAGTTAAGTAACTCAAGTTTTCATCTCTTTTAGAACCGGTCTAAATGTTTTGATTAATTTCATACAACTGACTTTTGGTTCAGCTGGTTATGATGACTTAGTGTGGAAATTTTAAGCTCATTTAAGCTCAAAAGCTTAAACATAAATCTGAACCTAAACGACAGGTTTTCTGATTTCTGATGGCACATGAGCATCTCGGTGGTCTGAACGGAAGGGGGCGTGGTCTATTTGATTGTGGCTCCGCCCTGGAAACGCGGTCTCTACATTATGATTCTTCACAGCTTAGCCTTCAGAATTAAAGCATAATATACCTGTATTTTCACGTAACTGAAAATATACAGCAGATAAAAAGCCAACAGTTTGTCAGGCTGCGAAGTTTCTAAACACACCCCCAGTGTCAGATTGATTATTAACACTTTTTGGACATAATAGCCATGACAGGTCTGAGGATCCGTCAGTTAGTTTCTGGCTCACTAGCAGGGATGCTCCAATTTTCTGGTCCAAATTGAAGTATTTCAACTACTACCTGGACATTTCAGAAGGAATAAACCTTTAGATATATGAGTACATGCACAGAAAGTATTATTTTTTGGGTGGAATGAACCTTTAAAATAATCACATTTGAATAAAAATGAGTATTTGGTTGGAATAAACCTTTAAAACTATAAACACTTGTACAGAAAGAGGTATTTGGGGTGGAATAAACCTTTAAACAATAACTTGTTAGAAAGTATTTTTTGTAGGGTAGAGTAAACCTTTAAAATTATAAATACTTGGACAAAAAATAGGATTTCTTGTGAAATAAAGCTTTAAAACCATAAATGTGTATACAAAAGTAATATTTTGGGTGGAATACACCTTTATAACTGTCACTACTTGAACGAAAAGTAGTATTTTGGGTCGAAAAACCTGTAAAACTATAACTACTTGTGCAAAAACAAACTTTTTGGATGGAACGAACCTTTAAAACTAGAAATACTTGTACAGACTTCATTAAATGAATTTAATTTCTCCAATTGGACGAATAAAGTATCTATCTATCTATCTATCTATCTATCTATCTATCTATCTATCTATCTATCTATCTATCTATCTATCTATCTATCTATCTATCTATGATCAAAAAGTAATTATAGCATTTTAGTATTTTAGGTGGAATAAACTTTTTAAACCATATCCTGTATTATTTGAGTGGAATAAATCTTTAAATCTAGTACGCACATAGAAAGCAATATTTTGGGCAGAAAAACCTTTTAAACTATGAAAACTTGTTACAAAAACTAATGTTTCAGTGAAATAAACCTTTTAAACCATAAATATCTGTTAAAAAAAAAAAAAAAGAAAAGAAAGAAAAAAAGAAAAGAAATGCTATTTTGGGTGGGATAAACCTTTAAAACTAGAAATACTTGTACACAAAGTAGCATCATATCAAATCAAATCAACTTTATTGTCATTTTGCTGTATATACACAGTAGTACAGGCAAGATGAACGAGCATTTCTCCAGGATCCAGTAAATTAAAGCAATTGAATAAAGAAGTGTTTGCATATCTGGATCAGCAGTTCAGCATTCTGACAGTTTGTGGAATGAAGCTGTTGATCAGTTTGGAGTTTCTTCCTTCAGTGCTCCGGAAATGTTTGTCTGATGGCAGCAGTTCAAACAGTTTATGGAGCGGGTGTGAGGAGTCCTTGACAATAATCAGTGCCCTGCTCCTGCAGCGGCTCTGGAAAAGTTTTTGGACAGTGGCAGAGTAATTTGGGAGGAAAACCTTTAAAACTATAAATATTTGTACAAAATGTAATTTTTGGGTGAATTAAACCTTTAAAGCATAACTTGTTTGTTGGAAAGTATTGGCACAGAAAGTAACATTTTGGATGGGATAAATCTTTAAATCTCTTACTATGTGTGCAGAAAGAACTTTTTAGGCTGGAATTAACCTTTTAAACCACATTTTGTTCACTAGAAAGTACTGTTTGGGTGAAATAAACCTTTTCAAACAGAACTTGTTTTTTTTCTTAAGAATGTGCTATTTAAAATGATGAAATAATATTTTAGGGAATATTTCCAGCTTCCTCTGGGACTTTAACTTTGAAAGTCGCTCGACAGGAAAACGCGTCCGTTGATTGGACTTCACTGAGTCTGCGCAGAGCCGCGAGCTGCGCCGCCTGCTCCGTGTTTCACTGTTGTTCAAAGCGAACAGAGCAAACTGAGATCTGCTGCGTTTTAACGGAAAACAGACCCAGAATCTGCCGCTGAATCAACCCGAGAGGAGGCAGGAGAGGGGGAAGAGCAGGAGGACAAGAGGAAGAGCTGCCGAGGAGAACCAGAAACAGGAGAAGGAGGAGGAGGACGACTGAGAGGAAAAAATCGGGACACAGTGGAAAATGCTGCGGATCTGACTGAAAGGTAAGAAAAGCAGCCGGATCGATACTTATTGCCGATCGATCCCAAAGTTGTCGATGCTGAGCGGATGGCGGCGGCTGTGGTGAGGAAGGTTTCACAGCCACAGCCGCAGCAGCAGCCGCAGTCTGCAGCTGCCTCAATGTAGGTCATTGTGTCTGTGGGCCGAGCCGAACCAAGCCGAGACAAACCGAGCCGGGCCGGACCGTCCTGCAGCCGCAGCCAGGCCGCAGCGAGGCATGAGGAGGAGGAGGAGGATGAGGATGAAGGTGAAGCCACGCAGCAGGACAGATGGGCAGACTGGTGCTGCGTCGTCCACATCATTCAGCTCCTAACCTGCTGCTGCTCCAGACAGGAACAGCATCATCATCTGTGTCAGGGAGTAGTCATTATGAGACGTTTCTGAAGACAAGTTTGGCAAAATAGTTAAACACTAACAATAAGAATGCCCAGTAACAGTGTAAAACTAACATAAAAAGACAGTGGTAGAATATCAGAGCCACTGAAACAAGTTTTCATGACCAGAAAATAAGTTTGTGTATTAAATTTGTATTCAAGCTTTATTATTTAACTGCGATCTGCTCCATGAGGACAGTGTGGGTGTGGTCTGGTCCACAGCAAGAAATACAAACCCAGAGTTTAATCCTGACTTGTCACACTTTATTTATCATAAACATCACAGCTTTGCTCAAACCTCAAAAAAGAACGGAGACACAAAAATCCTGCAGTTACTTGAAACCTGGGAAATAAGCACACAAGTAGAGAAAATCCATGTGAAATAATCAAAATTGTTCCAGCTTCTGCAGGAATCGACTCCCTGAAGGAAGCTGATTGAGGAAAGTGGACAAAAAATACTGAATAGTACTAAATAGCATAAATACAAAAAGCCACAAGTGTGCATAATATAGCCATAATATAAACCTAAATAAAACGACCCGTCTTTATATTGTTCACGTCATGTCAAGGTCACTGTTTTATTTGTGTTGTCACACATATAAATGTGCCTGGAGAGCTGCAAAAAAATATTGATTAGTTGTCAACTATTGAATTAACCTCCAACTGTGTTCATTATTGATTAGTTGGTTTAAATATTTCCCCCCACCTTTTAGAATTAGAATATTTTCTGGTTTCTTTCCTCCACTGAATCAGTGAATCAGTGTTGCTGGGCTATAAATCCCACAAACACAAACCCTTAAAAACTAAATGAGTGCCAAGATAAGTTAGAGGTTTTAAGCTGAATGAACTATTTGTACCTGAGATTAACAATAAAAGCATGAGCTAAATACTGCATATACATAATATATACTTCACTTTGCACTAAAATGAAACAAAAATAAAGTAGAGGTAGATGTAACAAAATGAAGAGTAAACCACAAATCAGAAAGCGCATGTGGAAGGGCTAAATGCTGGTTACAATGTCAACAATTACAAGCAAGAGTGAGCGGCTTATATGATCCGACATGAATTAAAATGAATAAACCTTACAAAAGACAATGAAAAACAATACAAAAAGAATAGCTCAACATTTTTCCGCTGTCTTGTTGTCACTGCGAGGCTCCAGCAAGTCACCGTTCCCTTCCAAAGACTAGTCCTGGACACAATCTCCTGTCAAACCACAAATGCTGTGAACTATACGAACTAAACAGCAAACTATAGAGGTGCTACTAGCATAAGGTTTATGAAACAGTGTCGACCATCAAATGATGGAGCCATGAAAACAGTGTACGGTGCAGAGCGAGGGTTAAAACAACACAGATGTTGAACCAGCCAGTAAACTGACAGAAATGTAAACTGACTGATTTACTGGCTGACTGCTTTAACAGCACCAACAGACTGATGAAACAGACAGTAAATCACATGCAGAGCTGAACATGATGCCAAGAATCTGAATCTGCCGGGAGAAACGCCAACGGGGAGAAAATCCTTATGGAAAATCACTGTGCTGTCTCTGTCATATTTCAATAATGCTTCAGCTGGGGCTTGACGTGCATCGTTACTGCTGCGCACAATGTTTTACAGTGTTTTTATTACCTGCAGCAAGACTGTTACACTACTGTGATGACTTGCAGAGTCTTAGTCTGTGAACTAGTGTCTGAGATTGTGGCCTCGTGTCTTAGCCTGTGGACTAGTGTCTGAAATTGTGGACTAATGTTTGAGATTGTGGACTAATGTCTGATTCTCTAGACTACTGTCTGAAATTGTGGACTAGTGTCTGTGCCTGTGGACTATTGTCTGATTCTCTGGACTAGTGTCCTAGATTGTGGACTAGAGTCTGATTCTGTGAAATAGTGTCTGATTCTGTGGACTAGTGTCCTAGATTGTGGACTAGAGTCTGATTCTGTGAAATAGTGTCTGATTCTGTGGACTAGTGTCCTAGATTGTGGACTGGTGTCTGATTCTGTGAACTAGTGTTCTAGATTGTGGACT